GTCGTCTTCTTGGTGGAGATTGGTCAGAATCACTGCCCTTGGTGCCTCGAGGTGGAGAGAGATCTGATGAATCATGCCGTCGTCTCCTTGGTGGAGATTGGTCAGAATCATTGCCTTTAGTACCTCGAGGGGGTGATAGATCTGACGAGTCGTGTYGACGTCTTCTTGGTGGTGAATGATCAGAATTATTACCCTTAATACCTCGGTCAGGAGACAGATCAGGAGAGTCATGCCGTTGCCTCCTTGCTGGTGATTGGTCAGGACTGCCATGCCTGTTCCGTCTGACCGGAGAAGTATCAGGGCTGTCATGTCGCTGTCCTCGAGCTCGTGGAGGCGTTAAATCAGGGGAATCATGTCTAGACCTTTTAGCACCCAAAGAAAAGTCACTATCTGCTCTAGAATCTTTCTCACTTGACAAATACCTACTGTCCTCTCCCCTGGATGGGTGCTCTTTTGGTCTTTTTTTCAACGATCTGATTTTATCTCTAGAGGGTGAAAGATCGGGACTGCCATGATTTCTATTTCTGGGGGGTGAATTATCTGGAGTATCTGCTCTCGATCGTCTTACAAGTGAAAGATTTCGATTTGGCGAACTTGATCTYACTTTTTCCTGGCCCTCTGCCCCATTATTTGTATTCAAAGGAGCCCATTTGGACTTCTGGTCATCCTCTCGCTTCTTATAAACGTCTAAAGAGATCGCTTCAACGCCATCTTCGTCGTAAACAACAGGAGCTTCGTCTCCAGCATTTTCAAACTTTTCCTCCWTGACTGTTGATTCTTCATCTTTTGGCTGTAAATCCTTCCAGCTGACATCATCATCGACGATAACCGAGCGAGCAAACTTCTGTGGTGCCTTAGGTTTCTTCTTTCTCTTCTTTTTCTTATCCTCGTCTGCTGATGTCGATAAATAACGTTTTAAGTATTCAGCTTTTGAAATGGCCGCCATCTTCGTTGCTTTGCACGACACACAGGAAACCCGCAATGATAAAAAACACGACTTTGAAACTTTGGAAATATCCGATAAAAGCCAAAATTAATAAAAGATCTGCATTAAATTAAAAACCGCGAATATCTGTAAAAATTCAATRCTTTATTCTTTTATATATTTTCCTATAGATACTTAAGTCATAAATTTTAAAACAATATTCTTTTGGGCTTCCTGTGGATGATGAAGCTYGCCCGATCTAAAATTCTCCTGAAACTAGCTAAAAATAATTCAAAAATAGATTCAAARGTCTAAATTTTTGTGGCAATTTAATACCTTATTTTTATATGTATTTTTTTATCAAAATATTATGCTAAAAAAAATGTTGAAACTATCATTTGGGCTTCCTGTGGTTTTTAGAACTCGAACTAAAAAATAYCTCAATTATATTTTTAATCCACTATGCTTTTTCATTTTTTTTAAATAAGATGAAAAAGTTTCTAAAAAATTGCAAATTTACAATAAATATTTAGATAAAATAATTTCGTCAGAATAATTTATGTGCGGGCTTCCTGTGGTACTTGAAGCCACAAGAAGACAAGATGGCGGATTGGGAAGAAATCAAGAGATTAGCAGCTGATTTTCAACGCGTTCAAATCACTAGTACAGCTCATAAACTATCCGAAAGGAACTGTGTCGAGATAGTACAGAAGTTAATCAGTCTAAATCTGATAGAAGTGATTTATACAACCGACGGAAAAGAGTATTTGACGCCACAACAGTTGGAAAAAGAAATAAAAGATGAGCTTTTCATTCACGGAGGTGAGCTAAAATATTTATTTTTTTAAATTTTCTGGGATTTTATTTTAGGTAACTTAACACGTATGTCTTTACTTACAGGACGAATAAATTTGGTGGATATCCAGCAGGTATGGAAATATATCTATTGAAACAGCGATTTGTTTTTATTAAAGTGTGACTTGTGATCAGCTGACGTGTCTTTGGAGAAGATTGTAAAAATGGGGATATTTTTATCGAATTTTTAGTTGCTAGCATAATAGAGAAAACAGCAGTCGATACTATAGTTTCTTAAGAATTTTTT